TGTCCACGGCGCTCGCTGAATATGAGGGTAATTTCTGCCGGGTGCTAATTTAATGCAGACCTCAACTTTATTCTAGCAGCTCTTAGGTTCAGGATGGCAGCCAGAGCTCGCTGCTTCTTCTGGCGGTAATGCAGAGCCCTCAAAATGCATAAAATTAAATGAGCATCCCTTGGATTCTCAGCAAAACAAACCAAGCAAGATGGACAAGATAACCTCAGGCTGAGGCTTTGTTACCCTTAGACCATTTGTGCCAATATCAAAATAAATAAGTAAACTGTGTCAGAGGAATAAAGTGCATTTAACATGCAATTATCTTTATGCATCCATATAATTTTTGCTGTTATCCCGTACTTTTGCCAGTCTAACTCACATAGAGCAGTGGCATGCAATGGGCAACATCTACCCTCCACTACAGGAGAAGACAACGGCAGCCACAGTGGGGCCACGATTCTCCTCTCCAGACTAATTACGTGGTTAAAGGCAGGCACGTCTCACCGTGTTGTTGAATCTCATCCTAATCTCTCAGGCTCTTGGCATCTTAAAACATGAAAACATGTAAGCTGGTGCCAGGAACTAGCTATAAGAATAATTGCTTTTAGGTTAAAAACTAAGCTGTAAGCACCTACAGAGCTGCAATTGATCTTACTTCTTTTCTGCAAGTATCATTTTGCATTAGATCATTGTTCGTCATTCACAATTTGAATAAAAAAATACTTCCATTTTAATGGGTTACATAATTCCACTGAGCTAAATGGATACAGGAGTAAAAGAAAACTATAGAAAACATGCACAATCTGAGCAGATTGCAATACTGGTGGAACAAGCTGTAAATCTACTGCTTAATTAAAATTATTTGAGATGCCAAGACGCAAAAACTCTGCATCATGCTGCCATGTAAAATTTACAGCCGACCTCGATAAATTATGATAGCCCGACCTACAAAATTCTGCAGTTTGAAAGGTTTTCATTGATGTGTTTGGTTTTTTCCCATGTTGTGTGTGTATATGTGTGTGTGTATATATATATGTGTGTGTGTGTGTGTGTGTATATATATAAATGCTTCCTTTACATTTCAATTTGAGCAATGATTGCACAGAATGGCATTTGGGCTCCTGCAGCCACTGAAAGAGTCACGCAGCTGCAAGCAGGGATATTAAAGGGCAGAGCTGGCAAGGTGTTGGTGCCCTCACCCAACTAAGCCACGAGCGCTTTGGATCTCATGGAGCCAGCACTGCCCGGGTTACTCTGCAAGCTCCCAGCCCAAACCKGGGAGATTTATCCGTGTGCAAAGGGAACAGACGGCCGAGAATTTGCCCTCTTGACACCGTGTTACCAGCGAGCTCCTTGCATGCTTGTGCTGCAAAGGGGATGGCTGCAGCGAGCCCTTAGGGCAGCCAAGGGGCGAGGAGAAGGGGCTGCAGCAGGGCAAGGTGCATGAGAAACACGCAGGTGAGTGAGTGCCTGCAAAGCCCCTGCTCCTTGCACGGAGCCTCACGCTGTCCTCTGCATTTCGCTTGAGAGCGTGAATGCGGATGGCTCCCTAGAAAGCACGCTTGATAAATAAAACATGCTTAATAAGACAAATAAACCAAGCAAAATAAATAATCCATGCTCCTGGATGGCGACTTCTTGTGCAGAAGGATGTTCCCGGGGCAGGCAGCGGCCCTCCAGTGGGACGCGCTGCGCGGTCCAGCAGCAGCCCTGGCACTGCTGCAGGAGCCGCCCGGTGCATCAGCCAGCACGTGCTCCCAAAAACCTCCAGCTCCACAGAGACCCCAGCCACAAAGACTCAACTGTCAAATGATAGCACTTCGCCGTGCAATTAAAAGTTATAAGTTATTCAGAAAATTGCAACAAGTTCTCTATTAATCCAGCGCCACTGCCTGATTTTGCCTTTCCAATGAAAAAGCAAATCCTGTGTATTCCCATGCATGCTGCAATCTGCTAAATTACCGGGATATATTATTTATATAAAGCCGTCTGCTTTGGAGACCGCCACCGTCGCTGCTGCGTGTTGCAACACAGCTCGCTGGTCCCACACAGCAGCTCCATCCCTGTCCCCATCCCTGTCCGTATCCCCATCGCCGCTCCACGGAGCCATCCCGTGGGCTCTCACAGGTAGCTGCTGCTGCTGCCATGCACTTGGGAGTGAAGGAGAAGATGGCAAGCAGCTTGCTCAGCCAGGAGAAGACAAACAACCGCGGGGCTTGCAGCCCGTCTGGTGTGGTTTCACAYAGCGCTTCCTTAATACACTTCGTTAATACAGTTGGGCTTTTTTTTAGCAAATGTTTGGCAGGACTAAACCCTAGGGAAAAGGGRCTGTAAGCTCAGGTGTGTCCAAATGGCAGAGCCAGAACTGGAAAGCTGTCTYATGGACACAAAACAATTTTGTGCTTTCTACTCGAGTCCCAAAAGCCGGATTTTCTGTCTTGTCAACAACACACACTGCTGTGCAGCAGGGCTTGCTTTCATCACCTCCACAATGCAGAGCTGTCTGGGTACCTTTTACACCACCTTTATAATTGGAGATGGCTGAAGAGTGATCAGGGAAGGGAAATCTAAGCAGCAAGTAGTTTAATAAAGAGAGAACCACTTCTCTAATATACCATCTTCTCAGCCAAAAACTTGGTTGATAGTGACAAACGCTGCATTTTAAACCTTCCTTAAAAAGCGCCACGTGTGTTTTGCAGTCCACGGTCAGCCTGCATGAGCAAGACATAGACTCAGGTGATGTGTTAATGCATGGAGGTTGATGAAGGTCACGAGGATGTTCCCACTTGCACAGAACTTCCTGACAATGATCTCTCATGTGAGCCATRGATTAGTAGACTGGGTTTGCTCCAGGTAAATCCTTCCATAGCTGCTTTTTATCCCTCATCCCGCTCTTTCTCCTGACACATCCAGCACTGTCCAGGTAGAAACAGGGCCATGCACATCATGGTGTTTCGGCCTGGAGTTCTCCTTCATGGATGGATGTCAACGTGCTTGGCAGAGGCTGGCACCACATTATCTTCATGTTGCACATGGCGGGACAGAGAGGCAGGCCTGGCAAGGGTTCTTCCCCCAGGTCAGCAGCGAGGCTCGAGTCATGCTCCAGCATCGATCCCACCTTCTGCATCTCCTCAGGAAGATGAACTCCCAGCCCCACAGGGATTTTTCCACCACAGGCCTTGTGCCTCATGGCACATGCCCACTTCGCAGGGATGGGAATGGTGACAGTGACAAATAAAGTCCAAAGCTGAGGCTTTGCAGCCGGGCTGGCACATGGAAAAGCTCGCTGGAGCTGGCAGAAGACGCCACTGAACATATTACAAGGGGCTCCTCAATCATCTTCCCTCACGTTCCCCCCATACCTTTCTCCATTAGACGGATATGATTTTGCTAACTGGACTCATCCATAATTCATAGCTGTTATCTGTGCTCAATAATTGCAGTGTTAATATTTTGGTAATTTCCAAGTACCTTGCTCAGGCACAGTTCAATCTGCGGCGCTGACTAATGCATAATTTGATAGTTGAGTGTTTATGAGCAAACCCGCTAGCCCTCTTCTTTTTCTTCTTCCCCCGTTCATACATGAAAAAGTGTTTTCCAAATGTTGGGGAAAAGAGGAATCTTGGAAGGAAACCTCATTGCTTAAGGACTAAATTTAAACTTGATGAAATGTGTAATGACTAAACTATGAATTAAAGCAGGTTCAGCAAACGCACTGGAAGCCCTTCCCTTTACAGCCACTGGTAGGTGACCCTGCCAAACTCAGCCCTACGCTCCATTCTAACCACGGTGGAAGAGCACTTAGCAACCCCCAAGAACAACTTACCCAGATGGATTCACTTGGCTCCATGACAAGACTTGGGCACGTTCATCATCTGAAAGCTTTCCTAAACAACGTGCTCTCTCAACATGCTCTCACAACAGAGTAGCCAGACCCAAGCAGGATATTCCTAGGTAGCAAAACTGAAGATGAAAGCTTGCTGGTGCGTAGCCTTGACCATCTCATGGTGTAGGCTGGCTGGTTTATGGATTACTGCGGGTCATTTCTCCATCCCAACCGTGCCCAGGCCATAGGCCCACGGCCTGGCCCGTAAGCTCCTGCCGTTCACTTGCCTTTCCATGCAGCATCTCCTCTTCCTATTGACCACTATCGCTTCAGACCTTCTCTGTTCATAGCAAGAGGTTTCTTTACGCCTTTGTCTCCTTTTTCCTAGTTTCCCCATCAGTCCTCCCCAACGCAGACACCCCATGGACTTTATTCAGCCTTCTCTCTCAATTTTGATTTGTTTCCTTGACCTTGGAGATACAGCAAACGTATACACGTATAGGGAGACACTGCATGCAGGTGACAAGTAGCAACAAATGCTTGTTTGCTGGGCAGGCAGGACAGCTGCAGTGCTCCTGCTCAAAAAGCATGTGGAGCAATGTCGTGTAGGCCCCATGGAAAAGGGAATGGCCAAGGGAAYGGCGCAGGGAACACTGTGCCACTGAGATTTCCTTGCATTTCTTTGGAGAGAATCCAGTGTCACCTATTGCACAGAGGGACCAGCTTCCCGTGCAGTCCCACGACATGGTGCAGAGCTGGACTTCAAGTCAATGCCAACGTGCTGTGCATGACCACAGCRCTCCAGGGCCCTAACAGCCAACACTGACAATTCAAATTGTTTAGGAATATCTGCAGGGAGCGTACAAATCACTCTGCGAGATGCTACGAATAAAAGACAGACACTGAGCTGAACAGCTCCCATKCGTCACCCAAAAGGAGAGGCTTGATTGCTCATTTTTGAAAAACACACCTGGCCATACCTAGCCAGGCACCAAGAGTCACGAGGATTGTGCCCATCTACACAAAGCAACACAGAGATGGACTTCTCAAGATCATCTCCTAACATCTCTGAGCCAATGAACCCCCCAACTGCAACAAGCAGCAAGAGATTTGAACAGATAA